TCCAGCTCCAGATCATCTCTTCCAGAATATTTATAATTATTAAATTTAATACAAAATGATGATAAACTTTAGTCTAAAATATGCAATATCTATATAATTAACTAGCTAACTTCTGGGTTGGTAATTCATTTATCACTATAATCTTGGCTTGATTTTCTATATAATTATACTTCTTTTATACTCAACAATTCAAATTTTTCAAAATTCCAGATTATTATATTTTCAATTATCTAAATTGAATTTAATTCTAGAAATCTGAATAAATAAGTTTTTATTATTTGTTTCGAAAAAAATGTAAAGTAATTTAAAAAAAAAATGAAATGCATATTCATAAAAACAAAATAATATAGATTTTCATTTTTGTTTCTTACACGGTTGTTAGTTACATTTGGAGAAAGATAACTGAATTTTGAAATATCTTAAATGTGATTTCATACCTCAGTTATCTAAATATATAGCTATCTTATACATATTATCCTGGTTGTTGGTTTTTGATCTTTTCACCTTTTATAGACTTCTAAACTTTTTAAAAAATCAAATATCTTCTACTGTCTTATGTATTTTAATGTCTATACCATTGAATTTCATTTTAATTCATGGTGTATTCATAATTATGCTGGAGCTATTGTTACATAAATTACACTTGTTTTCCTTAAAAGCTTTTCTTAAGAATAAAAAACGAAAAGTATGCAAAATACATTAAAGCAACAAAAACTTTTATTACTATTTAATTATTGTTAATTTCTGATTTTTATTTCTGCTAGATTAACTTTACGTAAGTTTATTTTTTACATTTTACAAATTTTTTACAATTCCTTGAGAATGTCAAAAGATGAGCTAGAGTTTGCTTATGTTTAAGTTAATTAAAAGTGAACTCTGAATGTTTACATGTAAGTTTATTTGTACTCCAAACCAACGACTACCTACAATTAACCATTAACCAGTGCAAAATTCTTTAAAATCGGCGAACGTTTTCGATTCCCCTCCTGGGATCTTCTTCAGGCTTACTTCTTTATAGCTTTCGTTATAACCGGATTCTTTAATTCGAATGTTTTTGAAAAAACGTAACGTGCCATTTTTCAAAAAAATTTCCGAAAACGGAAGGAATCCACGGAGAAATAACACGTGGATTCCTTCCGTTTTCGGAAATTTTTTCATGAGTTGTCATGAGTTGTTTCATGATAAAAAACAAAAGGGTTTTATATTTTATGAAAACTTAACACAATTTGATAAAACTAGAACTATTTTTCAACCCAGTTTTGGATCAGTTTCTGTTTATGAATTAAAAGCTTTTAATTTATAAGCCAAATTGTTCCAAGAATAGACTAAAAGATTTAGTTCATTCTTGGAACAATTCGGCCTTCGTATGCATTTTTCATTAGAGAGATAATTATAGACTCCTTCTCTATAGATAAAATGCATCAAGAATCAATTTCTAAATTGGATTGACAAACAACAAAAAACTTCACTTGAATATTTTTGCTAACTTTATATAGAGATGAGTTGATATAGTAGTGTCATTGACCACTGGTATGGACATAAGAAATAATCGTGTCTGCATAAAAATTCAGTGATTGATTTATTTCTATATAAAAATGTTTTTGAATTTACAGTTGACCCCCCCTATAAGATATACATACGTTCCATTCTTTAGGAATCCGATTTCTTACGAATCCTTCCAATCACAACCTGACACATGTCAAGTTTATGGACTACGGCTGTTTGAAAGATTTTCTTCCATAAAATTAATCGATTCTAGACTAATCCGACTCAACATTTCCAAAATACGTATATTTTTTCGCAGTTTTATAGGAATCGTAATTATAGGGGGGTCGACTGTAACTCATCTCTATCAAAAATAATAACAATTTATTGATATAAGTACTAAATACATAATAATAACATAAATTTAACAATAGTAAGACTGTAGATGGGAAGATAATTTTAAGTTAGATAATATTTTGACATAAAATCAAAAATTAATTTAAAATTAACTAAATCAAATGCAATTAAAATAACACTAATTAGTGAAAACTGAGTTACAGGATGTTTCACAAATTTTGGCTGGGAGCTATGGGCTATGCATTACTTAAGCAGGACTTTAAAACCTTTAAAAAGTATGTTTTTGGCAATCTGAGATATGTTTTGTATCTTGTTAAATTCATATAATGTAACATAAATGTACCCTTCACATTCTGATATAGACTTGTCCTTTCTACTACAGTGCATTCCAGCAGTCTGGAAAAGATTTGTGAAATTCACCTGTAAAATATGTTTAATACAATAGAAAATATAGATTTTTTAAAGCAGATTATGAAAGTAAATGATTAGTCAACAATATATACCTTTAGGCAAATATCTGATAATTCTAAGCTTACAATCATTCAACAAATATATCAGAATGATGTAGAATGTGTTTCCTGCACATCATTCTAATCTGTTAACTAAATGATTAAGAGCATAAAGATAGTCAAAACTTTATCAAAAATGTTTCTTTTAATAAAGGTATTGGCTTCTTGAATTAAGTAGTTATTCATTTATTAATACAGTGACACATTTGTAAACTTCTATCAATTTTTTTAAGTCTAAAAATAAGTAATGATAAAATATTAATTTAAAAATATTGTAAGAAAACAATTAATAAAATTAATCATCATCTATATGAACTATTTATTTTATTCCACAGAATTTCAAAATAAAGTTGAAAAAATAAATTAAATTTATGAAGTAAAATAAGTTTCTATATTGTATATTTACCAAAACTGATCATGAGCAGATTAAATAAATATATTGAGAATATTAAGAGCAACTTAAACTAAAACTTAAAGATTTCAAATTTGAATAACAATAAAATTAATTGAAGTATTTTGAGACTAACCATGTTGTTATTACATCACATAACCATTTATTGCAAAAATGCCACTTAAATGTTCTTAACATTTAAATTACATTTTTAAGCTGCCGACAAAACAAAATTCAATTTAATTAAGAAGATAAAATGTAAATGTATTTCAAAAAACAAGGACAAAAATAACAAGAGTTATTAATTTTAATATACTACAGAAGCCATAGTTAATTGCAAAATTCCAAACTAGTTTCTGAGCCACAACATTAATAATATATTCAAATGTTATCCACTTCATTTATTCTTTCTATTTAATGTATTTTATTTCAAAAATAATTAGCATTTATTTCTGTTCCAGATAATTTAATTATTAAATCAGCATTGAAATCAATTTAATTTCAGTTTTTAGTTTGGCCAGATTCTATTTAGTTTGACTATTTTATATAAAAACTTTAAAATTTGGTTTTAGTACTGAGTCAATTACTGTTTTACATTCAGTTCAAGTAAAAATCAAAGCAAAATTACTACAAAAACTTTATGTTTCTGTAATTCTAATTTTATGGTTAGATGCATTTTATAACATTAATTTCCTCAAAAAAATAAGTGAAATTTATTCATATCACCGAAATATTTGATTCTACATGCAGTAAAACCCCAACTATCTGAGGTTCTGCATTATCCGAGTTGAACCTGTAAGTGAATACACTACTTTCTTATACCATAATTTATAAATAATAACATTTATTATAAAATAAATTGCTTCTGTTACCTTTCATGATTTAACTTCAATGCAAGGCAAACCCTTCATATTAAAACCTAACTTACAACAATACACATTTTTATCCTTGGAAGTATTGTATGTATATTAGCTACATAATAAATGATGTAAAAATTGTTGTTCCTATATATGATTAAATTCACTAAGATATGAAAAGAGGCTTAAAAGGAACAGACCATATAAATCTTTAATATTCATAATTTTTAACCTGAAATTGCTGTGGCTGTTCATTTTATTTGCATTTTTGGTTATCCGAGGTAGCATCGGTCTATGTTGGCTCGGATAATTGGGGTTCTATCAAGCATTTTTATCAATTATGCCTTTGGCAAAAGTGGCTTGCTATATTTTAACAAAAATAAATATAAGCAAAATCAAATGTAAATATTTTGTTTCTGTTATGTTCTAAATTTTATTTAAAAAACTTAAAAATAGAGATGCTAAAAGCATTTACATTTTAAGTTTTACTTTACGTAATTCCGTAGACTTCAAACTCAATTGTACGTTGAATTAAAACATTTTAATAAACAATTATTTTACAAAATCCAGTTGAATCATTAGATTACTAACAAATATTGAGTTTGATTTTATTTGTGATAAGTTTTTACCTAAAGAAGCCTTTAATATAAGGTTTCTGTAAGTTATTGAAGATTTCTTTGGGTATATAAGACTTTTGTTAGACTGAAAACATCTTTAAATTAAAGAAATCTTTAATAAACTTACGAAAATCCTTTTTTTTTTCATCGAAGACTTTTATCGAAGCACACACTTGTTTATGACTTTTCCTGCTCCGTGGGCACCATGAGGGTGTTTCAAGCCTGCAGTGGAATCAGCCAGGCCACAACAAGAGACAGGGCTAAACATTGGAGATGGACCACCCCTGGAAAACTCCAGAGGTTTATCGACCCATCCGGATTCATTCCCAGGTTCTCCGCAACAGTAGACCGAAATCATTCGGCCCATCCGACTGGGCTTTTATCTTAAAAAGCTTTCAATAAAAAGCAGTGTGTGTTTGTCAGATGTCCATATAAAGATGTGTAGTCCATATAATGCTTCTATTCAATTTTAAATGCTGATTTACGAAATAATTTATTATTTAATTAATTTTTATGTATAATTTACAGACTTAATGAAATGATTAAATTTAAAGTCAGAGTGTATTTTACAACATTAATTTTCTCAAAAAAATGATCAAAATTCATTCAAATCGATGAAGTGAAGTACAATATACTTGATTATAGTTACATACATCATTAATTATAACTTTACATATAAAATACGGCAGTATAATCGATTTTACGTGGAAAAAATACAAGTTATGTAAGTGAAAGGTATGTTTAAGCCTTGAAAAATACTAGAATAAAAAGAAATTGTTTTTACCTTTGTTATCTTTTTCGTCCATTATTTCCTCTTTGCCCTTTTAATATTAAGAGTAATGATTCTAACAAACTTCAAAAATGATTGAATTTGTTTACAGATTCAAAACCAAATGAAGAACCGATCACATACAACCAACATCAATTACAAAATTATCTCGATCAAACGACGCTTGCGCTGCCTTGCTCTTTCCAACACGCCACCTACTTTTTAATATATATTTTATTTAAATTTTAAAATTTTAATGTATGTTTATATATACGTTTAGAATAAATTTATTAATTAATACGGAAAAATCTTTAATAATTAATATATATATTTTTATTAGCTAACAGTTATATGACAAACAATACCAGGCCATTATGAATAGTGACAAACATCGGACATTGTAATCAATGGCGTAATCCTATCAGCAAAAAGGGGATCTCAGGCAATTCGCCTGAGATCCCCATCAACAGGGCCCTCCCCAAACTAATCTTTTATAAACTTATTACTGTACTAAGAATATCGAAATTCAAATTTGGGGCATATCTGGTGACCATAGACAGAGCCGGACCTACCATAGGGCAAACGGAGCAGCCGCTCCAGGCGCCAAGTTTNAAGGACAACCAAGGGGGGTGCCATAATAGGATCTCGCTCCATCCTAAAACTTGTCTCGGACCGGCACTGACCATAGATTGTCCGTGTGAAACCGGACTTACCCGGCAGAGGTTTTGTTAAAAAAAAAGGGGGATTCCCTAAACATTCTCCCAATACGTGTTAAATAGTAAAGTCTTCTCATGTGCGTTCCTCTTCGTCTCATGTGCGTTCCTGTATGATAATTTAGACACAGCAATTTTGTGCTTTTTCCAAAATGAACATAGAAAGAACAAGAAGCAATCAAGTATTAAAATATAGTGTATGTTGATTAATAAAGAATTTAATGTAATAAATATATATGTATTAATTAATATTATCTATATAATATGAGCGAATTTTTATTAAAATACTTTGAAATAATTCGCACAAATAAATAATTCTAAAAGAAAACAGTGGACTTTCTTTTTGAAAATCAAATTTCCCAAAGTAAGATGACCGGATTTCTTGGACGCAAAAGCAGGACGTCAAATTAAATTAATGTTACCAGTACAGTGTACAATAAGTTACTTAACCATCAGCATGTTTTTTAACGTTTTAACTTTAAGTAGTGTTTTCTCGGTTGTCCACATATATTCATTGCCGGGAAACAGTTTTTCACTTGCAGCATTGGTTCCCGGGGGACACAGAACAAACTCTGTCGCACCTACGATTCTGACCGATTGAAATGAGCACGGAATAGCGTTACCATCCGGACAGTCCGGGAATCGACTCACCGTCCGGGTGAACTATTAATTTTACCCGGGGAGATCATGCGCGACCTGTCTATCTTTTTGTTTTTTTCTTTCTTTTTTTTTGCTTGTACGATGCATTCGTACTCATATACACCTCCAATAGCCAATAGAGCTAGGTCATCTAGGTTACTTACGTTACTCCCACGCAAGTCTACCTAGTCGCTAACTGTAACTGATTTAGGACCGGAATACACTGCACATTATTCTTAGCATTGCAAAATGACATACGCATGCGTCAGGAACTTCTGTTCGAACAAACCTCACCTGATGTCCGGGTCAGCGATTTTAAAAAGGTGGCAACACTAGCACGGAATTTTTCATTACTTATTCTGTGACGAAACTGAATTTTAGTCTTTTAAATTGAGATACCTAAATAAGGGGACAGCGAAATTTTCCTTTGCCCCGGGCGGCTGACATCCACGCTACGCCACTGATTGAACTACCTCAGAAAAGACGCAGTACGCAGCACCTACTAGGCTACCGTCTTTAGAGCCATCCGTGTATATTTCAACACCGCTGTTTGTTGGTTCACCGACATCTCAATCTAGACCTATCCTATATTCAGGATGGACTCTCAGTATGTCTGACTGACATCTGAGTTTGATGACTGAGTACATCTGATTGCAGTGCTTCGCCTCTAAACATTCCACTGTTGTCCTGTAGAAAGCTGCCTCTTGGCTGATGACCAGAGCCATCCTTCTAGGCTCAGGCCCCCATCAGATCTGTTAACATTATTTTCTTTTGATATTGGTAATGTGGCTATTAAAGTCAAATTAGAAAGTGTTATGCCTACCAAATCAATTTATTAAATCGATATATCAATTATATTAAAAAAAAAGTTCGCATCGCGTTTTCATTTAAAAAATAAAAAAAGATCTTTTTCTAGCTTATTTTTTTTCTTTTTAAAAAAAATCATTTTAATGCGCATTTCAGTGAGGGTTAGGACCTGTACAGAGCCTCACATATAAATGCATATATATATATATTTAATGAGATAGTTTGTATTATAGAATAATTTCAAATATTAATTCTTTCTTGAAAAGAATTTTAAAAATATACAATAAATATTTTTAAAATTCTTTTCAAGAAAGAATTGATATTTGAAATTATTCTATAATACAAACTATCTCATTAAATATATATATACAGTAAAACCTGTCTATGGCGACCACCAACTGTTCCTTCAAAAAGTGGTCTTTTAGACAGGTGGTCCTGTAATAACGTATTTTCGTACGTATTTTGCGCACTTTTTAGCCATTTCTACTAAGCAAAACTCGAGGTGAGCAAAAATAAGCGAATTTTTTCAACGATAGGGCTATATTCGTATTGTATTTTATTTTAAAGATTAATACAATACTCGCATTTTCTCGATTATAATGCACACTTTCTTTTTTCCGACTTAATTAATTCGACTCGGTTCTTTTCGTTCTCTCCTCAGTTACGTGTATTACGTCATCAATATACAAGCGCGTCCTATCTCTCCATCACTTTGCTTTTGGTTTTCGTTAGTTTAATCTTATTTTAACTTTAAAAATACTGTATTTTTTAATATTTAATATTTTCTTAATTAATTAAGTACAATAAGAAAAATTATTAATTAATAATAAAACGATTTTATTATTTTTTCTCATTATACGATTTCATTACAATCGCGGAATCGAAAAAGGAAGTAAAACTGATTTTTGCATTAATGCGTTTATTGTTTTTTGAATATTTTGCCTGCGAAAATTACTTGGATATTATTTTTCTAAAAATATCGTGGAAATAAGGTAGGTTGATACAGAAACTATTTATCGCACGTGTACTGTATATGAGCTTCAAAATAAATAAATAAAAATAGATTTTATCAAACGATGAGATCAGCCGATTAATTGTATCGTGTACAATATTTTACACCCCCAAGGAAAATACTGTAGGTCTAGGGTAAAATAAATTTTGTTTTCCCACAGTTAAACTTCGCCGCTAATTGCTGTTGTGATAACTTTAATACGATCTTCTAACGACAGCACTTTGCATTTCGGACATTTTCCAACAAACTGAAATGAATTTCCTTTGTTGCTAGACTAATTTATTAACACCTGCACCTAATTTCAAGGGTGGGAGAAGTGCCCGGGATGGGTTCGAACAAGAGTTTAGACTAATTTATTATATTAGGAGGGGAAAACGTTATTGAGATGGGTTCTTACAATAGTTTAGACCAGATACATTCGCGAAAGTGGTCGCTTATTACAGGTGTTATATGTTGTTTCGGACCAAGAATCGATGCCCGCGGTCGCGTTACACAGGTGGTCGTTTAATACGGGTAACTTATACAAAGACTCTATGGGTAAACTATTCCGTGCCAGAAATTGTTGCCCGTTTTGACAGGTGCCCGTCGAATGCAGGTGGTCGCCTAAGCAGTTTTCACTGTATATGCATGTATATGTGAGGCTCTGGACAGGTCCTAACCCTCACTGAAATGCGCATTAAAATGATTTTTTAAAGAAGAAAAAAAATAAGCTAGAAAAAGATTTTTTTTATTTTTTAAATGAAAACGCGATGCGAACTTTTAAACAATAGAAGAATGTTAAGTCTATCGACCATCTCCTGTTGGGAATGGAATTAAACTTCGATTTTGACCTCTCCCGCGATCTAAGTTGAGATCTCGTTACAGTTAGTAACGAGTGATCAACCATCTAGAAAACGAGAACGACCAATCGGAATGGACGATTGAGGACGGAAATTATTTAATAATAAAACCCCGGGAATTCAAGGACGCGACGGTTTCTTCTCCCGAAAGTTCCAAGTGTCGGACCAGCTGTTGTGTGTCGTCTCCGTCTCCCGACCTCGGATCGACATCGCCGGAAGTCGAACGCATCGTCCCGGAATCGTCGAGACGTCGAGGGAACTGTTCTTCGCGAACCAGGACACTCCTTTGGAACTATCTTGGAAAGGAGAGGAAGACCCAGAGGCCACGGCCGACTTAGAACTTTCAAGATCGCGGAAATCTTCTTTCTTGTTGAATAACGGTTTTTTGTAACCGCAGAGTCTGTCTCAGTGACGATCGCCCATATACGAACCTTTCGCGATCCCTCGACCCTCTTGACATATTTCCACCCCAGTCGGCAACCTTACATATATATGTATATATATATTTATAGTTTTACTTCATAGACCAGTTGATTGTAATTAAAATAACCCTATTCGACACTATCTAGATAGATATTTAGCGGTTCAAATGCAACCAAATGTGGCATGGAGCCATTTGAGGACATGCCGAAGACATTTCTCTAAAAAAGTTAGTACTAAAACTCACTATTTGCTTGTAGTACTTTTAGTGTTGTAAACAGCAAGCATTTTTATTTGTACGAAGCACTCATGCTGTACAGAGACCTCGGTGATGCAAGCATATTGCTCAGTGTGTAAAACCTGAAAGCAGTGAACAGTACGCTCAACAGCTGACCATAATTGATACTGTGTGATATCTCACAGGCAGTGTGGTACTGTCTTTCAAAGCTGCCAAATTTGCAGCATGCATTTGCTAAACCACACTTTTTAAGTATTGATATTTCCATTCCAAAAATCACATGGTTTAAAATCCAAAGTACCATAAGGGCCATAGTTTTGGTACTAATTTTTCTTTTGACAGAAATGGCTTCTGCATGTCTTGAAATCTCATCATACCAAATTACTTACATTTGGACTGATAAATATCTCTCAAGACAATACTGATTACAGATAATTTAATTATAATCACCTAATATTAAAAAATATATTAATATACAGTACTGTACTTTTTTAAGTAAAGCTGCTTTGTATAATAGAAAATAAATTATTTT